TCAGGGCCCCTAAAGGACTCCTGAGGGCTCCACGTGGGCAAAGGCCCTCCTGGGCTCAAGGGGCCATGTGAGCCTCAGATGGCTCACGTGAGACAGGGCCTGGGCCTCTCAGGGCCCCTGAAGGACTCCTGAGGGCTCCGCGTGGACGCCTCTTCATGGCCCCTTGAGCCCTGAAGGGCTCAAGGGGCCATGAGCCTGAAATAAATAGATCACTGATTTATCTGGGTGTCGGTCCCCTTGGAGGCCTCTTGACGGTGTTTGGGCTCTGACAGGCTGTCTCGTGGGCGTGGTTGTACACGTATCAAGCAGTTGCACAGTGAAGATGTCTCAGCCCATGCAGCGAAATCAATCCGCATAGTAAGAATGTCCGACTGCTCCAAAGCTACTGTTGCATCCATACAGGTATATACATGTTGCATTCCGCCAATTGATTAAACGGTTTGGCATCTTGAAATATTGAAAAGAACCCCGAAAACAAAAACCCTCGCATCATCGCCGTGCATCCTTACTATACGGATTGACTGTAGCTGTGTTGAAGCCTTCCTCCCGATCCTCCCTACCCTGCTGCTCCTCGTGGCCCGAGCTATTCGACCAGCCAGGGCCGCTCCAGCCACAGCCGGGCCGCGACTTCGACGGAATGGTGATCGTCACCGACGTGGATGAAGGCGACCCCGGGTCTCCGGTGCCAGCATGAGATAGACGATGAGGAGGAACAGTCGGATGGAAAATACTTTGTCTGAGACGTGCTAGACGCCTGAAGCAGGGCATGAACGGCCCACGACGGCCCAAGACATACCCCTAAGAGACTCCACAGCGGCCTCTCAGCAGCCTCTCACAGGCACCACAAAGGACCCCAATCGGCCCTTACCTTGTTCCGAGAAACATCACATCGGTCTAGAAGATAACCCATACAGACACGACGCGAAAGATGTTTCGTGACAACATCGTGTCGACTTTGTTGTTGTAATCAAGCCTGGCGAGGAATTTAGATGCAACGCATAGCCGCATGAAGACTTAAGAGGCAACCAATAAGCCACTGAACGGTCTCCACAAGTCGTCATCAAACGCGAAATATACACCTGTTTGAGGCTCAAGCGATGCCCGAACTCATTCCAACGAAGCCTCTAAGACGCCTCAATTAGATCCCAAGAAGGGTAACGCAGACACCCAATATGACCATTTCAGATTCCCTGAGAGGCTCCAGAAAGCTAAAACACGACCCACAGCCGCATGTCAGGGACCCATGTGACTATTCAAAATATGATCAGAAACGCCAAATAAGCACAAATATACCACCAACATACCCTCCAAAACACCCAACGAGCCCAGGAGTTACGACTGGGAGGGTCCATACTCTAGGGGTCCAGACTCTGGGAGGTCAGACACTCTGGGGGTCCAGACTCTGGGGGTCCAGACTCTGGGAGGTCAGACTCTGAGGGTCCAGACTCTGGGGGTCCAGACTCTGGGGGTCCAGACTCTGAGGGTCCAGACTCTGGGGGCCCTGTCGGTTGAGACTCTGGAGGTCCAGACTCTGGGAGGTCAGACTCTGGGGGTCCAGACTCTGGGGTGTCAGACTCTGGGGGTCCAGACTCTGGGGGTCCAGACTCTGGGGGTCCAGACTCTGGGGGGGCAGACTCTGGGGGGCCAGACTCTGGGGGGTCAGACTCTGAGGGTCCAGACTCTGGGGGTCCAGACTCTGGGGGTCCAGACTCTGGGGGTCCAGACTCTGGGGGTCCAGACTCTGGGGGGCCGGACTCTGGGGTTCCAGACTCTGATGGTCCAGACTCTGGGAGTCCAGACTCTGAGGGTCCAGACTCTGGGGGTCCAGACTCTGGGGGTCCAGACTCTGGGGGTCCAGACTCTGGGGGTCCAGACTCTGGGAGGTCAGACTCTGGGGGTCCAGACTCTGGGGGTCCAGACTCTGGGGGTCCAGACCCTGGGGGTCCAGACTCTGGGGGTCCAGACTCTGGGGGGCCGGACTCTGGGGTTCCAGACTCTGATGGTCCAGACTCTGGGAGTCCAGACTCTGAGGGTCCAGACTCTGGGGGTCCAGACTCTGGGGGTCCAGACTCTGGGGGTCCAGACTCTGGGGGTCCAGACTCTGGGAGGTCAGACTCTGGGGGTCCAGACTCTGGGGGTCCAGACTCTGGGGGTCCAGACTCTGGGGGTCCAGACTCTGGGGGTCCAGACTCTGGGGGTCCAGACTCTGAGGGTCCAGACTCTGGGGGTCCAGACTCTGGGAGATCAGACTCTGGGGGTCCAGGCTCTGGGGGGTCCAGACTCTGGGGGTCCAGACTCTGAGGGTAGGGGATTCAGCTGGGGGTCCAGACTCTGGGAGTCCAGAGTGGATGTCAATCCCTTTGGGGCTAGGACCCTGGCAGGGTTGGAGGTCAAGACTCTTTGGGTTCAGACCCTTTGATGCCCAAGAGTGAGCATTTCCATGATCATTCACCATCAACTATGTAGCCCTTTTGGGGCTCTAGTTTGGCATGCTGGGTGACAATCGTGCTGTTCGAAAGTGTCTTGATGTTGTAGATTCGTTCAAATATTTGGACCATGCTATCGACACCGCGAGCAAGTTGTCCGTTGATTGCCCGCTCATCACCGGCTGCTCCGATAGTCGCCGAAGCGAGAACGTCATAGAACTCAGCAGCGGATGCTCAGGAATTGGCTGTTTCGATCTTGCAGCACAGGGGATTGGTCATCGATTCAACATACGTTTCGGGTCAATGTGGGCAGTTGAAAAGGATAGAAAATGTTGCGCAGAGCTGTTGGCGCTTCCAAGTCATTCCAAACCGAGACACTTATATCGAGATGTCCTTCAGTTCTTGGACCCAGAAGTTCGACAAGCTCTTGCACGATTGCCGAAAGAAGATGTCGACGGTCGCCGGGAACTGATCATGAGCCACCCAACTGTCCCTTATGCAAAGTGCGTTTGCTGCAATAAAATGTGTAAAATTCGTCGGTGTCACATCCACTGCACTGGTGTTCCGTGCGTTCACGACTCCATGTTCGGGCGCTGTGAAAAGCTACTCGGACTTGGCGCACACGTGCTGTGGACTACTCTCAGGCAGCGCCGTGACTTGTTAGAGCCAGAAGTGTTTTTCGAATGCGTGACGCAGCAGGGGCGTGATGAGTATGATCGAGCCTTGGGTGACCTCTACTACCTTACCAGGGTCGTGACAAATCCTGACAAGCAAGGTTTCCAAAGCAGGAGGCCGCGACAGTACATCAATGGTAAGCTCAAAGGTCTGAACGTGCCTGCCAGGACAATCTGCTTGACGAACCTGGTTGATATGCTATTTACTCGCGAGGCGACGTACAGTGCGCGTGAGTATTGCATAGCTACAGATGGAGAGTTGGTGGATGAACAGGAATGGGCACACACAAGACCAGGTTTCCTGAAACGTTTCAGGGAACATGATGCTTGGGGCGATCCACCGGATTCATGGGAACGCCTCTTGGGGCCGTCCGAGAGGAAGCATCTAGAGTATGCTCGTCACAGGTTTCGCACAGGAGGATGTTGTTGGGACCTCGCGCAATCCAGTAAAAAACCCGTCTACTCGTCTTTGCACGGTCCTTTGCACACATTGAAGAGGTCAATGGGGTTATCATGGCGAAGCGATATTGGCAGGTGGCTTGCCCCAATAGAGCTCGCATTGTCAATGGGCTTTCCTGTTCTGCCAAGCTTATCTCAGATCCACGGAGTGGAGGGCATATTCAGTCGCGGCTATTCCCGCGCGCCTGCAAGCAGGACCAGGTGTTCAAGCATGCATCAAATTGGGAATGGCATGCACATCTGCTCTGTGAGCTCAGTTCTGTGTTCTGCTTTGTGGCTGGATCCATGGATCCTCGATGCTCGCCTTCACCGAGATAATGCGGGAGGCGCTGATTTCACAGTGGTGCCTGCGACATCAGGGCCCGCCATAGCAGCTGCGATGCCTCGTCTGCAGCCGCCGAGGTCTCTTCTCTCTGTAGAAGACTCAGAACACATTGCACGCATATATCGGAAGCTCCGTTCGCTTAAGCGGCCTTGGGATAGCTTGTGAGTGCGGCTGTTTGAATTCAGCGAGCTTGCTCGCGTGTGATATGCCACGCTTTAGTCTGGGGTGACATCGTGCAGACACCATTGCAAGCTCATTGTTCAGCGAGTGCGTTAGCCTGACAGGTAAATCAGAGCAACAATCATTGTCATCGCCATCATCATCATCATCATCATCATCATCATCATCATCATCATCATCAGCAAGTGTACCGTTCCAGGACTTTCCAAGATGCTCCCCCAAGACGGACGACCCCACGGGGGTCAACGAAGCTAGATAGGCACCAAGAGGCAACCGAGAAGCACCCAAGAGGCCCGAAGGTCCACAAGAGCCCAGAGAAATCCTCATCCAACCTCCAAGGCGCTTCAAGGGGGAGGCGAAGGAAGATGAGGCGACGACGACTCACGACGACGACGAGGCCTTGCATCCCTGGCCTTACCACGGCGGCGGCGGCGAGCAACTTCTCGTCCTCAGGGCCCCAGGGGTCTCCTGAGGGCTCCATGTGGGCAGGGGCCTTGCGCCAAGCTGACCTTGCACTAAGCTGTCCTGGCGCAGATATCACGTGCACAAAGCGGTTTTGGGCTCTTTGAGGAGAACAAGGGAGCAAACAAAATCTATTGGGCCTGGTAAAAAAAAAAAAAACGCAAACCTCCATGAGATACGTTGGGCCCGGGAAGCCTTCAGGGGTAAATTGCCGTCAAGAAATATCCATGCAGGTCCTGCGGCTAGGGCCTCGGATCAGAGAAGTAGGAAGAATGGGCGGGGTCGGAAGGAGCTGACTGAGACAGTGCGCGAGAGTAGAAACGACAAACAGCAAATAGAATCCCCCGATGATGTAGGAGGAAGAAGAAGAGTAGCAGAAGGAGGAGCAGGAGGAGGAGGAGGGGGAGGGGAAAGAGCAAGAGGATCAGGAGAAGTAGGATGAAGGGCCTGTTTCCTCCCTTCTGCGGTCCGCAGGCGAACAGAGTACTGGCGACTCCATGCCTGCGACTGATACGGCTGAGCACGAACAACATTGGGCGACAGATGCTGGAGTCTACCAGTCTTTGGTGAATGCAGCTCGTCAAGGGTCGTCAGAAGACAAGGACAATTCAGCTTTCAGCACGGGCTACTCCACGTACGAGTCACGGCATCCCCATGCTCAAGGCGCCGTGCTCCGGGCCATCTTCGATAACGATTACAGGCTGCCCTTCAACGACAAGGTCCCGTTCTTTCACACTTCAGGCCCGCTCAAGGGTCAACCAGTTTTCAAGAGGGCGAAGATGAATGCGAGAAAGCAATCAGCCACGCGGCGCTACTATGCAAGGCTTGCATTGGAATTTGGTGTTGTCTGGTCGGACCGCGCTGGCGACGTGGTATGCATACCAGACGGTCTTGATCCAAGTCGCTGGACTCTCTTCCAACTCGGCGCAGCCACATTAATGGAGGCTTGCTATGACATCATCAAGACGCATCCTCAGAACCCTCAAGTCGTGCAGATGCTCAAGGACATGGTGGACCGCGTTGTCATTCTAAATCCCAAGACTCCTCCTGACGCTCAAGTGTGGATAGCCCTTCAGTGCAATAGGCTGGTGAGGCTCGGCGCGGAGACAAGCTTCGTGGAGCGCTTGAACATAACACCTGTGATCCATGAGAGTTGGTTGGACTCCCGCAAGAAGAGAGCTCTCAGAGGAGGAGGGGACCCTGCAAGCAAGAGAAGGGCAATTGGCGACGAAGGTGCTCCAGCTGCCGCGGCTGCAGCTGCCGATGATGAAGATGACGGGCCCGAAGAAGCAGGTGGTTACGAGAAGAAGTTCGGTAATTTCATCAAGAAGCACTTCAAAGAGTACTTCGCTGGTTATACGCAGTACACAAGGGCAATGAAGTTCAGGAAGTGGGCTGAGAGCATTGAGGGCTTCTGGCCGCAGCTGGTCGATGACTGGGAGGAGCACGTGAGCTTCGAGAACACGAAGATGGACTCAGACAAAGTCTTCATCGTGCTCGAGACCATCCAGAAGGAAGCCTCACACAAGACATTGCCAAACTTTTCCAACGAAGTACTCGTTGCCATGTTCGCTCACGCAGCACCGCGAGATGATCACCAGGACTGGGTACTTCTTACAGCCGCTGATGTCAAGTCACGCCTGCGTCAGTTCCACTTGGACATGGGTCAGAGCAAGCAGTCCAAGCAGTCGAACGCGAACGTGCCTGATTCGAAGACGAGGACGAGGTTCGGCGACGACATCCACAATGCGATCAGCAATGCTATCCGCGCAGTGTCGGCCGAGGACCTCGACCACGACTTCATCATGAAGATGTACCGCGCTTGCGTTCGCTTTGGCATGAAGACGCACTCCGAATCTTCTGTGGCTCTCACGGTTTCTGGAGAGAAGGAGGTGAACTATAAAAGCTGGGTGAAACTGCGTCGCGACGTTGAGAAAGCCATCCAGTTGCGCTTCAATTTGGAGGATCGTGAGCCTGAGGCTGTTGTAGTTGAGGACGAACCCGAGGACGCTGAAGTAGCTGGAGGCCGCGAGACAGCAGTACCGCAGAAGGAGACAATGTCTGGTCCAGCTCCGTTTGTTTCGCAAGCAATGGACTCCGAGTTTACCGATGTCCACAAGGCGTGCCGGCACCTCGTCAAGGACATCATGACTTCCCTCGGCGGCAATGTTGCTGCTATTACTTCTTTGCATAATCACATGGCTGATAATCCTGCCTCTATCGACACGGACATTTTGTCTTTGCGCGTTCACTTTGTGAGGGCGAAGGGCGCTTTGCTGTGTGACCTCAAGAACCCTCTGATCGTAGACAGCTTGACGGTCAGTCCAACAGCAGATACTTCAAGTGGCACCACCGCCTGGTTTACCAATAACCTTATCGATGTTTTGCTGAAGCTCGTCATGAAGAACCTCCCCATGAATGTCTTTAAGGTTGCCAGGGCAATCATCGAGATGGACGTCGTGGTGAACGACGTGCAGGAGCTGAAGGAGAAGATCGGCGAGAAGATTGGGGACGTTCGTACTATGATGAAGGTATTTTCTCCTCCTCCTCGTCCTTGCTTCCCTCTTTCTTCACTTTCTCCCTCCGAGGTAGTGGATGACAAACTGGAGCAGCTTGGGGACGTCTGGCCGACAATCGACAACGTGAGGGCGACGCACATGTCTCGGTTCGCCTACGTGAGCATGCTGCTGCTGACCGTCGAGGCGTCTGGGAAGCTCTCAACAACCGCAACGCCATCGTATGAATACTTCTGCAAAGGAATTGATTTCTTGAAGAACTTCACAGACTGCCCGTTGCAGCGCGAGCTCGACTGCGACGACGAGGACGTCGGTCAGTTCTGGAAGGTCACGTTCGAGGTCGCTAATTCATTCGACGCTTTCGTCACTGCAAAATCAGAGAACGCTTGGAAAGTGTGGGAAACCACGGAGAAGCACAAGATGAAGAGCATGAGCAAGGCAAATCTGATTTCATGTGTGAAGGCTGAAAGTTCCGACCCAGACAACTTTGACGACTCCGACGTGAATGCCATGCAGATCGACGCCTTGCGTGGACAATTGCTTGGGCCGCGTGAGAGAGTTGCGCGAGAAGCGGACAAAGCTGCTGCCCAGGCGTTTTTGACCGCTGTGGAGAAGAAGTACCTCGAGAAGAATGGGGCTCCTCTTGAGGTGAAGAGCGAGAGTGTGGATGAGAAAGGTGAGGGTGCTCTTGTCGAATGCGGTCCAGCTGTCGATATGACGAAGATCGGCGATGCGCTTTCGATCATGGAACCCTTGGAGATTGACTCGAAAACGTACATGAGCATATTCAGCCTATCACGCCTCGCCCCAAACAGATCAACGTTGGTAAAAGCCCAGCAGGTATCGTTCGACATTTCGTGTTTCATTTCTTCCTTGGGCGACGCTGTTGAGGATCGGGGGACGTCGCTCATCATGAGTACCGAGGCCGCGGTAAAAGGTTCTTCATTGACTGCCAAACTGTTCATGAAAATAGTTCCCTCGGAGCCGACTGGGATCAAGCTATTCTTCACGGGAATGTTCGTGCTCACGCGCACTCTGGATGATATCAAGAAGCCGTTCATTGACACACTGACGAAGGTTATCCTTGATGGTGTGGTGTTCCACGTGTGCGTTGTGCCGCTTCAACCAGCGGCAGGCCTTCGCAGTCCCGCTGCAGTGCCAGCATGGTTTGCCAAGGTCAACAAGGGTGCAGCGGCGAACACCATCATAGGCTTCGACAGATTTTCAGCTCGGACACGCCACGGCAACATTGAAGTCAGCGTTCCATATCTCGCTGTGGCTGTTGCGGATTCGCCGGCGGCGCTGGCCAAGACCACCGTGGTGGACTTCAACAGGCCCGCCCAGGCTCACGAGTGCGCGAGTGGCGCTCGAGTGCAGGCGAGCGGAGGCGGCTCTTCGCTTGATGCAGCCAAGAACGCATCCCATATCTTCGGCTGACGGCGCGCGGGCGTTTGGCCCGCGAGCCGCAAGCCACAGGTCACAGAGAGAAGGAAATCAAGGAGGAGGAAGAGGAGGAAGACCTGAGGACGACGACGAGGACCGAGAGGAGAACGAGTTTTAGGAGGATATGGAGCCACGCTCAAAATGAGTTGAAGGAGAACGAGGAAGACCGAGAGGTAGAGGAAGAGGAGGAGGAGGAGGAACAGGAGGAGGAAGGAGCGAAAGACATAGCTAACATTTCCTTCTCAACGTGTGCCGTCCAGGCAGCGCGAGGGGCGCGCTGACCTCAAAGGCTCGCCCGATTGACGCGTTGGGTTGAGCCGCTCAGACAGGCTCGTGCGTCACAGGGGGCACGAGCTATGACATAGAATTCAATGAGCTGCTCGAGGGGTGGTCGTGCAAGTCGAATCCTCCTGCTGATGTCTTTCCCCCCCATTCTGACCCCGTCCTCGTCCATTCATTTTCTGTTCGGGATCGTCGCCTTGCTGGTCATAATCCGAGTGGTTCGCGCGGCCCCGACGATCTTAGCAACTATCTCATGGCGTTCGGCGAAGCCCGCCACACCGTGCCTGGGTTGGATTTGAGGCCCCTCGGACGCATGCGAAATTACATTCGGAAGCCTCTAGGCGGCCTCATTGGGGGCTCTTTGAGAAGGATCTGGGGATCTAGGGGCCTCTTGGGAACCTCTTCAGGGGCCGTTTGGAAACCTCTTCGGGTTGTCTTGCTCTTTGTGATGTTCCCCCGCGCGTCCTCGTTTTCCTTTGTGGGCAAAGCGGAGAGGGGGCGGGCGCTCGCACGTTCAAAAGCGTGTGCCTGCGCGGGTTGTTTTTTTGTGTTGCCAACATCAAAAACACAACACCAAACCGTACATATATCATAACAACACTCCTGAACGCACAGATAAACGTGATAACATGTTACTTTGGAGGGTACGATTTTACTCAACGCCGATTCAAGGGAACAACGACGAACGGCGTGACGAATGGAGTCCGAGTCTGGGCTACGGCCTCGTTTCAGACCCGAAAGCGGAGCCGAACGGTGTGCGAGTCTGGACCACGGCCTGGGTTCAGACTCGGAGGAGTGACGGATTAGCACCGTGGAAGCACAACTTTTATCACATCCCCACCGGCAAACCGCTTCTTGGGGCTCTTTTGGAGCGCTCTTGGGCGCTCTGGGAGCGGTCTTGGGGCCGTTTGGGGCATCATGGGAACCATCTTGAGCCAGCTTGGGCTGTCTGAGCCATCGTGGAGGTCATCTTAGGCTCCCTCAGGCCGCTTGGGGGGTTCTTGGGGGCCTCTCGGGTGCCTCTTGGGGCCCTCTTGGGACTCTCTTGGGGCCCTCTTGGGGCTCTCTTGGAGCTCTCTTGGGAGCCCTGGAGCGCCTCTTAGGGCCATCTTCGAGGCTATCGATCAAAGGAGGGAAGGGCCCTATCGAGGTCCCCCCCCATCGGGGGCCACGATCCTCGTGAGGGTGTCAAACATAGGCCCTCCCAGGGGCCGAAGGACCCTTCAACCGATCGCGGCCCCTCCCGTCCAGGACCAGGGGAGGGGGTAGGGTGAGGGGTCAAGAGTCCCCCTCCCCGCCCGCAAGCCGTCTCGCTCACTCCCACCCGCCCTCCCAACACATACGTAGCACCCGAGCCTGGCCCGAGCCTGAGCATATTCAGCAGTCGTCTTTGGATGGGCAGCTACTGGGGGCCAATCCGCCGCCGCCGCCGCCGCCGCCGCCGCCGCCGCCGCCGCCCCCCGCTGCCAAACCGCCGCCGCAGCCGCTGCCGCCGCCGCCGCCGCCCCCGCCGCCGCCGAACCGCCGCCGCCGCCACCGCCGCCGCAGCCGCCGCAGCCGCCGCCGCCAAGTGCACTCTGTATTGTTTTTTGACGCGGATGGTGGGGGGGGCCGCATCGGGTTGGCTGCGCATGTTTTTAATTTGGAGGCAGAGTGTGTGTTTGTATTGGTTTTTACAAGGGATGGTGGGGGGGGGTCGGCATGGACCCTGGTTGGCCCCCAGTCGCCTGGGGGAGGGGGTGTGTACTAATAGGGAACAGTGATACACCCCTGCACCGTGCTCTTCCTCCTTCTCCTGCTCCTCCCCCTCCTCCTTCTCCTCCTTCTCCTCCTCCTCCTCCTCCTCTTCCTCATCGTCGTCCTCCTCCTCCTTTTTATCCTCCTCCTCCTCCTGCTCCTCCTCCTCTTCTCTGGACGCCCGAAATGGGCACGGAAAGCATGGGTACAATGCCTAACAGCAGTTCCTGTTCATTTTGAACAGGATTCGCTGTCCACGCCGCCGCGGTCTGTGTCCATTCGAGACAGAAGGCCGCCTACCCAACAGCGGCCGCTGCTGGTTTGGGACAACATTCGTTGTTGGGCATTGTGCCAATTGTTTCCGTACCCATTTCGGGCGTCCAAATCTTCGGAGGGGAAAAAGGGTTTTTGGAGAGAGGAGAGAGAGAGAGAGAGAGAGAGAGAGAGAGAGAGAGAGGAGGGAGACAGCCATCGTCAGACCACCTGCGCCCAGAGGGCCGGTGGGATTGGAGGGGCCCCCGCGTCGCCACGGCGGGGCGCCGCCTGCAGGACTTTGCGCGCTTGGACCCCAGCGGGGGGCCTCCGGGGCCGATGGCGAGCTGCCGCTACCTCGGCTCACCGCGCTCCGAGACGGGAACGCGATGTGGACATCAATGGGTGAGCAAAAAGTCACATGAACATATAAACTCGGAGGTCCGCGCGGATTTCTCGGATCGGCGCTGGACCCCCCTCCCTGGCGCGCGGAGCGCGCCAGGGGCGGCGCCGGAGGCGCCGCCGGGGGGCCCCAGCGCCGATCCGAGAAATCCGCGCGGACCTCCGAGTTTTTATGTTTACGCCACTTTTTGTGCCCCTATTAAAGTCGGGCGTGTCCCTCTACAGGAGGAATCTTCAAGAGTAGTAGATCGGGGGCGGCAGAGGGGGGTGATGACGAGAGGGGGGGATATCATGGCGTGGGCCCCGTGGGCCATGATATTTCCTTAGATTTCATGGCGCGTCTTCATGTTACGTCCCTGGCCCCCCCCCCCGGGCCGCGCACGTGCCGCTGGCCATCATTTGCGCCCCCCCCCCCCCCCTCTTGGACGCCCCCCTCTTGGTCGCCCCCGAGTAAAACAATTGTCTGGTGACGATGTTTCGTGCTCTTTGTTTTTTGAGGATGTGTTGATTATCTTTCATTTTTCTTCCAAAATCCGCCTGCAGGAGGGCATGCTCGGCCCAACTGCAGATTTGGGGGCGCCCACGAGGGATTGGCGCGAGGGAAGGGGGGGGGCTCCGAGAATGGGTGGGGTGGGGCCCTTCCAAGAAGGCAGGCGGCTTCTCACAAACCCTCCTCGCTTCCAGGGAGGCTTTTTGAGGAGGAGGAGGAGGAGGAGGAGGAGGCGGATGAGGAGGCGGAGGAGGCGGAGGAGGAGGAGGAGGAGGAGGCGGAGGAGGAGGAGGAGGAGGAGGAGGAGGAGGAGGAGAAGGGCCCTTCACTCAGGCCTCGCCTTCTCAGATGCTCACCCCCGCGCGCCATCCCCTCGTGGGCGCTTTTAACTTATGCGGATCTGCTCGATGCTGTTGTTTTCTTCGCGGTCGTCCCCGCCGTCGCGCGCCCCAGCGCCCCAGCGTTGATCTCTGTGTTCCTCTCATTCTCTGAAGCATCGGCTCAAGAGCTTACGACCGCGAGGCTGGCTTCAGCACAATCTCGATTTCGATTTCCCCCCCCCCCCCCCCGCGCACGACTTCTCGTGAGGATCCCTGCGCTGATGTCGCCGGGGCTCGTTCACGCGTGGCGCGTTTCGCCCTCCCCCCCCCCAAAGCGGCCGCAGCGCCACGTAGGTGAGATGCGACGCTTGACTTGAGCATGTTGAAGCGAGATGTAGTGGAGATGTGCGCGCAGAAGCATGAGTCGGTGACGCTCCCGGGGGAAGTGAGAAGGGGCTGGCCTTCTCAAAAGGCTCGGATGCCCCCCGGCCTTCTGAGATGTTTTCTGGGCCTTCCCCAGAGACGCAGCAAACTTTTCAGAAGGCTGGAGCGCCTCCGAGAAGCCGCGCCGCCTTCTGAGACGGCCGTCACCTTCTCCCTCCCCTCCCCCCCCCCCTCGCTTGCCGCCCAGACGCGGGAGGCAGTGGAGATGCGAGTGCGGCAGCACGAGAGCACAGCTGCGGACGCATCTCAGGAAGAGAAAAAACACACAGACACAATTCATCGTCGATTTCCCAGAAAATAGGGGGAAATATGGGAAGTGGGGGGGAAGACAGAAACCCAGAACATATGGGAAAATATGGGGACTCTTGTTGTCTGTGTGTATTTATTTGTGTGTCCTGGGGCCCCTTCAGCATCGTGTCCCCGCCCCCTTGTCCGCCCTCTCCTGGCAACGCGAGAGACGGGTCGAGGCCCAGGGGCGGGCGGGCCGGCCGAGGTCGGCCCCCCCCGGAGCGTCTCGGCCCCGGTGGAGCTTCGGGCGTCGAGGGTGCTGGCCTCGAGGATCGGGGTTCGGGGGTGGACAGAACCCCCAACAGTGACACGTCGATTAGTGAATTGTCCGTTTTCGGTTCTCGAGAGGGCGCCGCGGCCGTTATTTTCCAGGCTTGCGCCCGCCAGGTTTGGGCCCGAGGTCGTTTTCACTAAACCACGTTTTACTAAAGGGAGGTCTGTCCATCCCCGAGGGGTGCTTGGACGATCTTCGCATTCTTTCCGGGCTTCTGGGAGGCGTCTCGACGCGGCGAGCGATGGGGGGGGAAGTGAGGAGGAGGAGGAGGCCTTCTCAGGAGGCGGCGGGGCCTCTCAGAGGCCCTCGCGCCTTGTGAAGCTCTCTGTGCCCCCGGGGAAGGCGCAGCAAACTTCTCAGGAGGCCGGGGGACTTCCAAGCCTCCTCCTCCTCCTCCTCCTCCTCCTCCTCCTCCTCCTCCTCCTCCTCCTCCTCCTCCTCCTCCTCCTCCCCCTCCCGCTCCTCCCCTCCTCCTCCTCCTCCTCCTCCTCCTCCTCCTCCTCCT